TTGTTCAATGGTTTAGTAAAATATATTTTTTTATCAAAATCTGTAGGTAAACTTTAAATCTATGAGTCCGTGACTTCCCTTATAAATTAACAATTAGTATAAATAATATTAAATTAAGCAAGTTTTATATTAATTTTATAATATTATCATTGTGACATGTGTTACTTGTTTGCTAGTTTGAAAAACTTATACCAGCCTGGCTTTCAGGACCTCGGTCTACAATGTTACAACAGTAAAAATACTTAATTATGACATTAATAACCACTCTATATTTCATTCAGCATTCACTAAATCATAGGTGTAACTTTGACTCTTTTTATGWGTGAGCAAAAATAATTTTTGTGAATCTCACTACATTCATTTACTATTATATTTAGCTATATATGTGTTACAAATCAACTTAATATCATGTGTGAGTGTGTACGCGTCTCACTGCCTCAGAACAGCCTGCAATTGACCAATAGTATAGTTCAGTTGGTGAGCAATGCCCTCATAAATTTTTGGTCATGGGGGCAGTTGCCCGCATTCACCCGCCAAGATACGCCTATGCATTGAATATACAATGTTTAATTAATCTTCAACAAGAGCTTTTAACATCTGCGGAGTTAAATTATATACTATGTACATAATATGCACTGCAAAAATGTTGAAGTTACGAGTTGTAGATAGTGAGATTTTTATAATAACTAGTATTAAGTATTAACAATCATTTGTAGAAAAAATGTATTTGAAGGAACTGAACTATACACTAGTTTATATAAAAAAAACTAAAATAATTATTTTTACAAACATAGTTAAAATTTGAGAGCAAAACACATTTTTTTAAATGAATTATGTTAAGATGATCAACAATTGGAAAATTTGTATTTACCTATTCAAAGAGTATAATAATTGAACCAAAATATATTCTTAACTCTCATTAATTATAACAAATACAATTATACTAGTCTAAAACAATTCATAATAGTATAATGTCGTCAAYGTAACATTATATTAGTTTATCTAGAATTTAGATCATACCCAGAAATTCATTGAAAGATCATTGACATTCCTTTGATTCATTTTAAACGATTTAAAGAGTTTTTTCTCTGTTTAGGCATCTTTTTTTTAACCTCGTTAAAATGTATGGTGAAATAAAGTAAATCATTTTCGGATAAGCCAATAACATTTAATCTTACCTGCAATAATTTCCATATTGAAACAATCCATTTTTTTCTTTACCTTTTAGTTTAGGCATAACAACTGGACTATGCAAAATATGTGTAGGACAGACGGCTGATAAATTTAAGGCACAAACTAATAACTATGATCTTGGTTTGCGATTTGGGTAATGTTMAAATGTTGAATGTTAATCACTGTAACAACAACAACATAATACTACGGTAAGYCGGGGTAAGTATAGTATCTAATCAAATCTATTGAAATCCAATAGCATTACTATTTACTACTTTAGATTTTTAAGATTTTCTCGATATTATCAAAACGATAAACAAAATTTTTCCCACCAAAAGTTTGTTATCATTTTATCAAATATTGATAAAAATGACAATAAACAAGTTTTTGCGTGGAGAAYCTAGAGCGAATGGTTAACTAAAAATCGTGAATAAAAATCATTTTGCAGATAATTTCGGTAGGTCAAAACTCAAAAGTAGGTATTAACTGTTAAAAGTTTAAAACTAAAATGTTTCTACCCAGTATCCATATTACTGAACGACTTTCTCGACGGTTTAGTTATATTAAAATCATGGCTAAATAAACTGGTATGTTCTCAACTTGGATAAAATATCATGCAGTCGGCGCAGCCAGTATTTATTATGGAATAAAAATCTTTTAGTTATTTATTCCATGTGATATGACGTAGCCTGTCTGCTTTTTGTGGTGGACACTGGACACTTGCTACTAATTCGCTAGACTAAACCGGTGCCGGAAAAAAAGTCCACTGAAAAAATGTATCCGGAAAAAAACAAATTTACTAACACTCAATTCACTAATTAYGTTTTACATGTTAAATTATTCATATCTTATACCGCCATCATGATTTATTATAAATTACAAAAATTTCACATTACAAATTTAATTATACTCAATTTTCTAGTTACGGTAAATGTTACATTAAAAAATCAATATTATCTTATATGTTATACCTACTGGTATCATTAAATATTATAAATTAAAAGTATTACACACGGATTTAATTACACTCAATTTTCTATTTGACTATTTGACAGTGATCGTCAAGTCATTGATTAAGTATACTTAATCAATGGTCAAGTGAACCTACCATAATACTATATTAATTTAAATTTTGGCGCGCATTCTCGCATAATGTGGACAGTGAGGTAGCATACATGCGCAGAACGAAGTTGAGAACATACCAGTGTATTTAGTCATGATTAATATATTATCTTCGTCAGTTTCAGTTAAGAAGACTCAAGACWGTATACAACTATTTGTTGTTTGTTGGTCTCCGTCTCACAAGTGTCAAGTACTTAACATAGCAAATTTACGCTCAGCAAATTACGTTTAGATCCGTTACTTTACAAATTAAAGTGATTCGACTTATGATGAAACTTAATGGAAAGAACATTATCTGTGTTTGTTTGTAGGTTTTGTATGATAGTTCAATGTTGTTACAAATTATGCGTTTATAAAAAAGTGTAAATTAAAAATCCGCATAACTCACTTAAAAACTAAGTTATTGTAAAAAACTCACTTAAAAATACAGATRAAGTTCTTTCCATCAAGTTTAATAATCGGTTAGTTTTATCTAATTTTTAAACTAATGGAATTAAACGTGATCTACTAAGCGTAAATTTGATATGCTACCTTACCTATCCACTAGTAAGATGGAAACAACAAATATGTGTGTAGCGTCCTCTTAAGTGTTTTTGGTGCACTTGATAATAAACTTTAATTTTGGCTATTGAATGAACTTCATAATATTCCATATTACAAGTGTGTATCAGTGTTTCACTTAAACCTGTCTGCAACTGTTTGTGTT